TACTTATTTCCCTCATTAAAATGCAAATCAATTCATAACATTTCTGACATGCGTTTTCTGGATTTGTTTTGTTGTTATACTGTCTCTCACTGTTCAAATAAACCTACCATTAAAATTATAGACTGATCATGTCTCTGTCAGTGGGAAAACGTACAAAATCAGCAGGGGATCAAATACTTTTTTCCCTGACTGTATGCACGCACCACTTTTCCGTTATTTATTTTTTAGAATTTTTTTAAACAAGTTATTATTTTCATTTCACTTCACCAATTTGGACTACTTTGTATATGTCCATTACATGAAATCCAAATAAAAATCCATTTAAATTATAGGTTGTAATGCAACAAAATAGGAAAAACGCCAAGGGGGATGAATACTTTTGCAAGGCACTGTATAAGGCAGAAATATATGTCACATATGAAAACGGCCAATTCTTGTATATTTCAACATATATGCGACATATACAGTGCCTTCAGAAGGTATTCATACCCTTGACTTTTTCCACATTTTGTTGTGTTACAGTCTGAATTTTAAAATGAATTAAATTGAGAATTTCTGTCACTGGCCTACACACAATACCCCGTAATGTCAAAGTGGAATAATGTTTTTCAAAACTTTTACAAATTAATAAAGAATGAAAAGCTGAAATGTCTTGAGTCAATAAGTATTCAATCCCTTTGTTATGTCAAACCTAAATAATTTCAGGAGTCAAAAAATGTGCTTAACAAGTCACAAGTTGCATGGACTCACTCTGTTTTACATGATTTCTGAATGACTACCTCATATCTGTACCCCACACATACAATTATCTGCAAGGTCTCTCAGTCGAGCAGTGAATTTCAAACACAGATTCAAACACAAAGACCAGGAGGTTTTCCAATGCCTTGCAAAGAAGGGCACCTATTGGTAGATTGGTAAAAAATAAAAAAAGCAGATATTGAATATCCCTTCGAGCATGGTGAAGTTATAAATTACACTTTGGATGGTGTATCAATACACCCAGTCACTACAAAGATACAGGCGTCCTTCCTAACTCAGTTGCCGGAGAGGAAGGAAACCACTTAGGGATTTCAACATGAGGCCAATGGTGATTTTAAAATAGTTAGTTTAATGGCTGTGATACGAGAAAACTGAGGATGGATCAACAACATTGTAGTTACACACAATACTAACCTAATTGACAGTGTGAAAACAAGGAAGCCTGTACAGAATAAAAATATTCCAAAACATGCATCCTGTTTGCAATAAGGCACTAAAGTAATACTGCAAAAAATGTTGCAAAGTCATTAACATTTTGTCCTGAATACAAAGTGTTACGTTTGTGGCGAATCCAATACAACACATTACTGAGTACCACTCTCCATATTTTCAAGCATAGTGGTGGCTGCATGTTATGGTATGCTAACTCCCGAGTGGCGCAGTGGTCTAAGGCACTGCATCGCAGTGCTAGCTGTGCCACTAGAGCTCTGTCGTAGCCTGCCGCGACCGGGAGACCCATGGGGCGGCGCACAATTGGCCCAGCGTCGTCCAGGGTAGGGGAGGGAATGGCCGGCAGGGGATGTAGCTCAGTTGGTAGAGCATGGCGTTTGCAACGCCAGGGTTGTGGGTTCGATAAAATAATGTATGCGCTAACTGTAAGTCGCTCTGGATAAGAGCGTCTGCTAAATGACTAAAATGTAAATGTAAAATGTATGCTTTTAATCGTGAATTTTTCAGGATAAAAAAGAAACTGAATGGAGCTAAGCACAGGCAAAATCCTAGAGGAACACTTGGTACAGACTGCTTTCCAACAGACACTGGGAGATGAATTCACCTTTCAGCAGCACAATAACCTAAAATACAAGGCAAAATCTACACTGGATTTGCTTACCAAGAAGACAGTGAATGTTCCTGAGTGGCCAAATTACAGTTTTGACTTAAATCTGCTTGAAAATCTACAACCAATTTGATCAACAACCAATTTGACAGAGCTTGAAGAATTTTGAAAATAATAATGGGCAAATATTGTACAATCCAGGTGTGCAAAGCTCTTAGAGACTTATCCAGAAAGACTCACAGCTGTAATCACGGCCAAAGGTGATTCTAACATGTAGTGATTTCTGTATTTCATTTTCAATAAATGTGCAAACCTTTCTAAAAACATGTTTTCACTTTGTCATTATAGGGTATTGTGTGTAGATGGGTGAGAGAAAAACATATATTTAATCCATTTTGTTTTCAGGCTGTAACACAACAAAATGTGGAATAAGTCAAGGAGTATGAGTACTTTCTGAAGGCACTGTATGTACTTATATGTTCTTATATGCGTGGATACATGTATGTTTCCACCATACATGACCATATAAAACATATACGTAGTATATATGTATTGCCATATATTACTTTTCCGTATGGGCAATTTTGACTTTGTGGCTGTGGGATCTGACTTTGTGGCTGTGGAATCTGACTTTGTGGCTGTGGAATCTGACTTTGTGGCTGTGGAATCTGACTTTGTGGATATAGAAGCTAGTGGAAACCTGATATGCCTCCACCAGCGTTTGCAAGAAGTCATAAACACCAGCCAATCCACGACACTGTGGGCTCGGTCGAATGACTCACTGGAGACAGAGGTAGGCCTTTTTTGTAAAGTAAAACATACCTAACAGTTGGGACTATTTTACCAGACTGGATTTGGTTTTCTGCTGTTTTCCCCCACACTTAAATGATAGGCTAACATTTTCAGACAAAATATATGCCTTTTAATGGGCCATATAGTCCTACCACCTACATGATTATTGCTCTATGTTGAACATCAGCGCCATCTTTAGATTTAGGCTACTTTTTAACAGATTAAAGTGTAAACCTACCCCGGTGAAAGTGTGGACTAACTCAAATTCTATTGAATATGAGTTAGTCCACACCTTCACCTGGGTAGGTTAACACTTACTACACTTATCCAGCAGCCTTCTTCCTCTATGATTATGTAATGATAACACAGCCTGGTGATGTTTCCCCTATGTCATTCTGGACTGCAGTGACAGCAGGAAACAGAGGTGAACAAGGGTACATTATCAGTAGGCCCACAAATACTGTCGTACAGTTAAATGTAAAAAAAAAAAAGCCAGATCATATGGCCCCTTTCATCTTTACATAAGTCTCACGTGATTCAGCAAGGCCATTCTTGGTTTCCAAGGCAACCAGCTGCAAACCTGAGCCAGGTTAATTTCACATACAGAAAGTCTTCTCCAGGCAACATCAGAGCCTGAAACCTCCTGTGGTGGCTGGCTGGCTGGCTGGCTGGCAGGCTGGCTGGCTGGCTGGCTGGCAGGCAGCAGGCAGGCCTGGGCACAGACAGACTTCCTCTGCCTCCGGCTTCATCCACCGTTCATTATAGGCCACGCACAGACATTCTATTGTTTTTTTTTGTGGGGTAAGATTAAAGAAAAGGGAATGTAGCATTGTTTCTAAAATCCAAATAATTAATTAATTCAATAAGTTGCATGTATACAGGACATTTATGTTTTCTTTGATTATTTGATTGATTGGATGGTTGGTTGATTGGTTATTATTGTGTTGAGGAAAACTCATTTGAGGAATCAGGCAGAACTCATTTATCAGCAATAAGAGGTTTATTCAAGCAATTGCAAGGAAGATCACTCTTTCAGGATGAACCCGGAGAGTAACCTTCACGACACACCGGAAAGGAATTCTCAGGATATACCAGAAAGGAACTCTCAGGATATACCGGAGAGGATCTCGGTTAATTACAAGTCACTCAGTCTTTATATACTCCACATACACAAAGAGCTGCTTACCACTCAAAGAGGGAGGCAAGCTTGCATGAGAGATAAGGGGTATTTAGCTCTACTCCCTTAAAGCATTAAAACAAATAAAAGCAGGTTCTAACCAGTTCTCACAACCTATGTGTCTAAGATAGGGGAGTGATAAGATCTTTAGAGCCTAAACAGACAGGAGAAGAATTCAACCTGGCTGGCTTTTAGTGCCCACCGATAAGAACAAATAACAAATCACTCCTTTGTGGGGTGTATGAAGAGGTTACTGGACAGCAAAGGGAAAATTAACAGTGACTGTGGAAAATGACCAGTGACTGTAATAAAACCATTTTGCACCCACAGTTGGTTTCAACATATGTAAATAATGTCTTTACAGGTGATAATGTAAGGTGTGAGAGAATATTGACAATATTTACATGAAGTAAGCTAATATTGACATGCTGGAACCCTTTGACTGATCACGTCGATGTTCCTTGTTGCCAAATCCAGAATATAAAATATCCTGCAGAACACTGTTCTCCATTTTCAGCCATAGCCTTTCCCACCCTTCCTCTCAGAGCATCATAGGAAGGGCACTCCAACGCTAAGTAACAATTAGTAGTCATGACTCAGGACATCTGCACATCAGCTTGTACAGGGTCTGGGTGGGAGCTCTGGATTTCAAGGGCTGACTGTATAGAGCATTTGAGGACCAACAATACACCAGGGGAATTCTCATTAACATTTTGTGGTCCAGAAATTGCATGCACAATACCTTTTTTGTCCCTTATTGTAAATCGTTTGTTAATACATGTATTTTATTTGGTGTTTTATTTGCATAACTTGTGTGTTGAGTTATAAATCTAGCTCAATTCCACCTGTAGTCACCAAGGAAAGTAATGGGGCATATTCAAAAGTATACTATAAATTCATATACTGTACTTTACAATATAGCCTACATTGTATTCGCTGCTTGTTTCATGTCTGTTCATCATTTCCCCCAATAAACCAGATAGCCTAATTTATTTTGTGGTGTGATTTTTCCAGTTGAATACTTGTCCCCTGGTCACATTCATAAGGCCTCCCAAAAGGTGTTGTCCCAGAGGAATGAAAGGTCTGTCATTCTGACCTTTTGGTTAATACGCCTCAAAGCATACTCACATTAGCTGTAAAGTTCAAGTCAGTGTCCTTCTGTGACACCTGTGTATCCCTCTGGGGAAAAGAGCCAGTGCCTTTGGCATTAGCACAATGAGTGAGCTGAAAAAGTCAGTGGGTCCTTTTTACCATCATCCAAACCCCTAAATATTACTGATCCCCCTTTACTCAGAATAATTAATAAATGTGTATTATGTGAACACACAGGTCTCTGTACACTTGTTATGTTTCCCAATAAGAAACCAAAAATATAGTCGCTAAACAGCGATAGAGAACTAACAAATGAGAACGAAACAGGTGGGGTTTTAAAATGGGTTCTCAAGGGACACACTCTTTTCACGCCACATCGATACAGCTACGACCGGAAGTGATTTTCGTAGCAGGTTAGGAGAGCATTTTTGCTAACCCTAACCCTTTTCCTAACCTTAACCACATTTTCCTAACCTGCTACGTTAATTATCCTAACCTGCTGCGTAAGTTCTCCTGACCTGCTACGAAAAAGTCACTTCTGGTCGTAGCTGCATCGAAGTGGTGTGAAAAGAGTGTTTCTCTGGTTCTCAAAGACACGCATGGGGGTGTCCACTGAAAGTTGACTAGCAACAAGAAACTGGGTTCTAAAAGACACCCACCATGAGGACCCATTTAAATTTGTCCCAGAAAAGGCAAACCAAAATAAAAACCCTCACCAACTTATAATATGGAGTTAAAAGTACAGTGGGGAAAAAAAAGTATTTAGTCAGCCACCAATTGTGCAAGTTCTCCCACTTAAAAAGATGAGAGAGGCCTGTAATTTTCATCATAGGTACACGTCAACTATGACAGACAAAATGAGATTTTTTTCTCTCCAGAAAATCACATTGTAGGATTTTTAATGAATTTATTTGCAAATTATGGTGGAAAATAAGTATTTGGTCAATAACAAAAGTTTCTCAATACTTTGTTATATACCCTTTGTTGGCAATGACACAGGTCAAACGTTTTCTGTAAGTCTTCACAAGGTTTTCACACACTGTTGCTGGTATTTTGGCCCATTCCTCCATGCAGAGCTCCTCTAGAGCAGTGATGTTTTGGGGCTGTCGCTGGGCAACACGGACTTTCAACTCCATCCAAAGATTTTCTATGGGGTTGAGATCTGGAGACTGGCTAGGCCACTCCAGGACCTTGAAAGGCTTCTTACGAAGCCACTCCTTCATTGCCCGGGCGGTGTGTTTGGGATCATTGTCATGCTGAAAGACCCAGCCACGTTTCATCTTCAATGCCCTTGCTGATGGAAGGAGGTTTTCACTCAGAATCTCACGATACATGGCCCCATTCATTCTTTCCTTTACACGGATCAGTCGTCCTGGTCCCTTTGCAGAAAAACAGCCCCAAAGCATGACGTTTCCACCCCCATGCTTCACAGTAGGTATGGTGTTCTTTGGATGCAACTCAGAATTCTTTGTCCTCCAAACACGACGAGTGTTAGTTTCATCTGACCATATGACATTCTCCCAATCCTCTTCTGGATCATCCAAATGCACTCTAGCAAACTTCAGACGGGCCTGGACATATACTGGCTTAAGCAGGGGGACACGTCTGGCACTGCAGGATTTGAGTCCCTGGCGGCGTAGTGTGTTACTGATGGTAGGCTTTGTTACTTTGGTCCCAGCTCTCTGCAGGTCATTCACTAGGTCCCCCCGTGTGGTTCTGGGATTTTTGCTCACTGTTCTTGTGATCATTTTGACCCCACGGGGTGAGATCTTGCGAGGAGCCCCAGATCGAGGGAGATTATCAGTGGTCTTGTATGTCTTCCATTTACTAATAATTGCTCCCACAGTTGATTTCTTCAAACCAAGCTGCTTACCTATTGCAGATTCAGTCTTCCCAGCCTGGTGCAGGTCTACAATTTTGTTTCTGGTGTCCTTTGACAGCTCTTTGGTCTTGGACATAGTGGAGTTTGGAGTGTGACTGTTTGAGGTTGTGGACAGGTGTCTTTTATACTGATAACAAGTTCAAACAGGTGCCATTAATACAGGTAACGAGTGGAGGACAGAGGAGCCTCTTAAAGAAGAAGTTACAGGTCTGTGAGAGCCAGAAATCTTGCTTGTTTGTAGGTGACCAAATACTTATTTTCCACCATAATTTGCAAATAAATTCATTAAAAATCCTACAATGTGATTTTCTGGATTTGTTTTCCTCAATTTGTCTGTCATAGTTGACGTGTACTTATGATGAAAATTACAGGCCTCTCTCATCTTTTTAAGTGGGAGAACTTGCACAATTGGTGGCTGACTAAATACTTTTTTCCCCCACTGTAAGTGGAGCTAACCAAAGGGTAGAACACTAGATAAAAGGCTTTGTTTATACAAACTTAAAGAAAAAAACAAAACTATATTTTGGTATTTGTTTCATTAGTCCATTGTTGATATAGTCCCAAATTGTTTTGCATTTCAGCAATCAAGTTTTCAAGATATATAACTTCTAGAGATAAAGCACCGAGCCAGGAGAACGATAGGAGCTTAGCTAATCAGATAACAACTCTAATTACTCCCTAGGCATCAGCACCCAGAAAGTCATTAGAGGGTTTGGGAACTAATGCTCAAAGATCATTTTCTGTTTTTATATAGAATCACAAGCCAATACACTGAGTGTACAAAACATTAGGAACACCTGCTCTTTCCATGACATAGACTGACCAGGTGAATCCAGCTGAAATCTATGATCCCTTATTGATGACACTTGTTAAATCCACTTCAATCAGTGTAGATGAAGGGGAGGAGACAGGTTAAAGGAGGATTTTTAAGCCTTGAGACAATTGAGACATGGATTGTGTTTGTGTGCCATTCAGAGGATGAATGGGCAAGACAAAAGATTTAAGTGCCTTTGAACAGGGTATGGTAGTAGGTGCCAGGCACACCGGTTAGTGTGTCAAGAACTGCAACACTGCTGGGTTCTTCACGCGCAACAGTTTCCCGTGTGTATCAAGAATGATCCACCACCCAGCCAACTTGACACAACTGTGGGAAGCATTGGAGTCAACATGGGCCAGCATCCCTGTCGAACGCTTTCGACACCTTGTAGAGTCCATGCCCCGACGAATTGAGGCTGTTCTGAGGGCAAAAGGGGGTGCACCTCAATATTAGGAAAGTGTTCCTAATGTTTTGTCCACTCAGTGTATTTCTCTTGTATTATATATATCTTACTTTAAAGCTGTAATTTTATTACTGATCTGCCATAATAACTTTGCATGTAGACGCCACATGGACTGGAGAGGACTTTGGACGTTGGCTATTAACTTATCTTTCAGGGACATAATCCATTCAAATAGTAATGATTGTTCTCATCCTTTTTCCAGTAGAGAAAACAGAGCCATGCTGAACAAATTTAAATGTAACCTGGTATGCACAAAAATAATAATAACATTGTTAAACTTCTTACAGAGTAATAATAATATGTTGTTGGCCATGACCAATTAAATGTTGTATCATGGTCTCTGTGTATAATCAGACCCATGTAAATTGACCTAATGTCCTAGTCTTTGAGGATTTCAGAGTAATCATGACATTTAAGTCTTGATGCTTTGGGGCTCATTAAATACACACATGGTTAGCTACCTTGACATGCTCTCTCTCTCTCTCTCTCTCTCTCTCTCTCTCTCTCTCTCTCTCTCTCTCTCTCTCTCTCTCTCTGACATAGTTAAAAGGGCAATCTGCAGTTGCTTCATCCATTTTAGGACTTCTGAATTAATTAAATGTACCCATTGATTACTGAAGAATATAACTTATAAATGCCTCATGAGCTTAGTTCAACTGTCGTACCCCATCAGCACCCAAAATATAAACTTGTTTCACTCCAATGTTTGTAAACAAAACAAATGTAAGAAAATATGGTTAAAACTATAATTTTGATATAATGCTTGGTCAGCCCCTGCATCCTTAGCGCTGTCTATGAATTTGAAAGTGGTTACATTTCTCCAGCCCTATCCCTCAGCTTTTTTTTACCAAAGCAGGGGTGGGGAAGATGCTTTGTTATTGTTTTAACTGCTGATTGCCTCTTTAATTATGAAGGCTCCATTGATCACTGGGACTAAGTGTGCTTTATAAAGGTCAACTCCGCCAACGGCCCATGCTTCACCAGTCAGAGTAATACATTAGCCAAGTGTTTTGTGAATACTTCACACATGTAGGCTACGCTTCACAAAGCAAAGTAATCAAGAGAGAAGAGTATTAAAAGGACAGCTGTTTCCACAGTGCCTTGCCGCTTTTACAAAGAACCAAAATAACTTCACCGCAATCACCAACTGAAGCCATCCTACTGACCATCTCTCACTAATTACTAAACAGGGCTCAGCACCACGGACAGCACCAGCTCGCTGCACTCACAGCGCAGTATGACTTTTGGTCAAGGCTCCGAGATTATTTAACCGATTTAGGTTAAAATAAAGATAAGGGTATAATTTGAAAGTATCTACAACAGAGCCTACTCACATTAGAGGTTGGATCGGTTAAAGATGAGAGCACTGTAGGCTAGAGGATGCTCTTTGGTAGCCTCGTACGAACCATCTGGATCTCGCGAGATTGCATTCTACGCTATAGACAAAACACTTTCAAGTAGACTACCCTACGTGTCTCCTTCTTGGACTCGGATGAACACCAGTCAGTCTTAATTTGGGCCATTCAGAATAGACTATGCACACCGGAACTCATAGGACCTAAATGAGAACACAAACCCCAAAGCCTATGGAAAGTGTGTGCAGTGCCTGTGTAAAAAATACTAGCGGCACAATTACCTTAACACCTACCCTAATACTGTAAGCCTAGGCCACTGATGAGTTATATCAATCAACTATGTAGGCCACTCTTAACTGTTATGTGAATAGATTGAATGAGGTAATGCGCGCTTTGTTCAAACAGAATTGGCGTGTCCACCTGTCTCTCTTCGTGAACACACCCTCTCTCCTCTCAGTGCCCACTTGAGTTCGCTCGGAGTGAGGATGAAGGTGCAGAACATTCGGACCCTTTCTCTCATCCTGTGTATGATATCCTACCTGCTTGTGGGAGCCGCAGTGTTCGACGCCCTCGAGTCCGAGACCGAGAGCTTGAGGAAGAAAATCCTGGAACAAAAGCGCAACGAGCTGAAGAAGAAGTACGGATTCACTCAGGACGACTACCTGGAGATCGAGAGAGTGGTTCTACAGTCGGAGCCCCATCGCGCGGGGAGACAGTGGAAATTTGCAGGATCCTTTTACTTTGCCATCAACGTTATCACAACAATTGGTAAGTTATTTTGCTAAATATTTTCCAAGCAAGTATTGGACTCTTTGTTTCTCGTTGTTGTATGGGTTTCTTTGCTCTGTAAGTTAAACCATGTATACTCGTATGACTAACCACAGCAAATCTGTTTTTACATGTAAAAATAACAATTTCCTCTAGCCTAGCCTACTCTTACGGGCGCTGAGTGACTATGGTGCTGAACTCTGGTTTGAATTATTAGCGAAACTGGAAGTTATAAAGGGTTGCTTTAAAGAGATTACTGTTCTAGAGACTACTGTAATATAATATATATTAGTATTTTTTATTTTGGAAGAGCTACTGTGTTTGTCTGTGTGTCCATGTACACACCCCTTACAAAAAAAGGTTGCAGTTTTGAAACTGCAATAAAAGTGCAGTAACTGCAGTCGACTGTCCTGGTTGGACACAGTAATTGCAGAATAACTGCAGTCATACTGCACTCTGACTGCAATATTTTGATGTGTCTATAACTATGATGTTCTGCAGGTTATGGACATGCTGCTCCATGCACAGATTCTGGCAAGGCATTCTGCATGTTCTATGCTGTTCTGGGCATCCCACTGACGCTGGTCATGTTCCAGAGCATGGGGGAGAGGATCAACACGTTAGTCCGCTACCTCCTCTGCAGGCTCAAGCGGTGCATGGGATTACGGCGGACTGATGTGTCCATGGGGAACATGGTGCTGGTGGGCCTCCTGTCCTGCATGAGCACCCTCTGTGTTGGGGCAGCAGCCTTCTCCCACTTTGAAGGCTGGACCTTCTTCCATGCCTACTACTATTGCTTCATCACGCTCACCACCATCGGATTTGGGGACTTTGTGGCCCTGCAGAAGAAGGAGGCCCTTCAGAGGAGGACTCCCTATGTGGCCTTCAGCTTCATGTACATCCTGGTGGGGCTGGCAGTGATCGGGGCTTTCCTGAACCTGGTGGTGCTGCGCTTCCTCACCTACAGCATAGAGGAGGGAACCAGGAACCTGGAGGTGGAGGGAGAGGAGCAGGCATCAGTGCCTAAGAGGACATGGGGTTGGGAGGCAGTGGAGGAGGAGGCAGATGTGGAAGCATCAGCACGGGACAGAGCTGATGGGATGGAATGGAATGGAGCTGAGGACGGGCACAGTAGCCGCTGCAACTTCTCCCTTGCCATGGAGGGAGGCACCAGTCGAACCAACCTCATCCCCTCTCCATCTGAGGAGCTCAGGGGGACCCCTGGGGTCAGCGAATCTGCTAAGCACCCTGAGTCCTGCATCAGCGCCCTCTGCTCCTGTATGTGCTTCAGGCTGGGTGCCTGTGACAGCCCCTCTCCACCCCACTGTGAGCACTCAGGCTGCCACAGCAACCCTGTCTTCTACGACTCCATCTCCTACAGGGTGGATGAAGCCTCTTGCAGCTGCAGGGGCACCTCAGCCCAGTCCTCCCCCTGCAGCGGTGCCCTTTTCCTGGGGATGAGCAGCCCTCACACACGGAGGAAGTCAGTGTAACTACCTGGATTGTTGGGACTCACTCTGGACTAAAGTGGCCTTTGTTCTTATCTTTTGATGTGAAGCTCTGAGAGGAATACAGAGATGATAGACATACAGAGATGTTACTCTGATTCTCTGCAGGTGGAACAAATTGTGTATGATTTTCCTGTATAAAAGGTAGCATTTACAGATTTCAGGTTGCGCTTCTATGTTTATTTTTACTGTCAAAATGTAGCTTTTACAGATATCCTGTTCTGCATTGTATTTAGTAAGTGCATTTTTTTCTATAGATAAAGAGATGATTTATACAAGTACAGATTGTATAAAATTGTGAAATGTAATACATCGTCAAACTGTTTATTTTCTCGAAAGAATCTCCACTATTAGTTTATGTGTAATGTAAGCTATTGCTCAATAAGCAAATGTTGCAGGTCTGGGGCGCATAACTTTTCCTCCTGCATGCAGTAAAGTACTTCCATCATAATGCCCATATTTTCAACTTTCATGCATTTGTCTAGAAAGCATATACCACAATCAAAAATCTAAAAGTTTTGTATGAATAGACTTGTTATTACCATCTCTACATTTCATCACTATAGACTACCTAATGAGGATGGGGAACACTGATGAGGGAGAGAGAGAGAGAGAGAGAGAGGCTGTTCAAATCAATTAATATGTTTCATCTCAGACATTCCTTCATGATGTCACCTGTGACCTGCAGCTTATTTCCAGACTGTAATAATCCGTTAATTTCTTCTAGGCAGTGCACTCTCTGCTGCTTAGGCTGGTTCCTTTGGTAATGTGACCATCCCCAGTGCTCTGCAGTGGAAAACTGGGGCTGAAGAGGAACAGTCAGTGGGAGGAAGAAGGGATGTGAGAAGTAGAGGTCTTCACGGGTCCACCCAAACCTGAATACCCAAGACCTGACCCAGGACCCGAGCGGGTCCGGGTCCTGTTTGATTGTCATTGGGTCTCGGGTCTATGTAACTACAGCTGATAGACCCGAGTGGAACTGAATGGACCCGACCATGGTTCTGCATAACCTATAGCCCTCAAACTCAACTCTGGACCTTGAAGCCAGTTCCGCTGCGTTTTTTCATTTTCCCCCTCTAATCAGGGACTGATTTAGACCTGGGACACCAGGTCGGTGCAATTAATTATCCGGTAGAACAGAAACCAGCAGGCTCGTAGGGTAACAGTTGAATACCCCTGGCCTATAGCATATTTATTTTACGCTAATAAGGGGAATTTATTGACTTATAGAAGGCCATGCCAACATATAAAGACCTATTCGTTAAACAGAAGAGCAACTTGGCTGATAAACATATTTTTTTTGTCACCTGAGAAGACCTCTTGTGAGAAATATTGACTGTGATCACTTTTGTATTGACTCTCTCGTATGCATCTCTGACTAACTACAACAACTACATTTTAACAAAAGTATGCTGTTAAGATCCCTTTCTTCAAACTACAGCATGGCCATAGTTTCTGTTCCAACATGTGTACATTCATGAGGTGATTACAGGGACCTCTAGTGGCAGCAGTCTTTAAACCTTAAATAAACTTGTGCTTGTTCGTATTATGTCTAACACTAGAGGGCATCATTGGTTTAAAGATCAGTTATGTCTGTATTACGTCAATGGTACCAATGCTGCATTCTGAAATGTCCTGTACCAGTATTGCTGTACCATGGACAAGGACATGGAGGTTGAAGTGAATTATTCTACATGAATCTAAGGCTGCGTTTAGACAGGCAGGCCAATTCAGATATCTTTTCCACTAATTGGTCTTTTGACCAATCACATTAGATATTTTCACGTCAGATCTTTTTCAGAGCTGATCTGATTGGTCAAAAGACCAATTAGTGATAAAAAGATCAGAATGAGGCTGCCTGTCTAAATGCAGCCTTACAGAGCATCACAGTAACACTACATCAACAGTGGTTCTTTAATCTAGTTTCCAATGGGATCCTCTCCTATTCATGTTGGCTTTTCCCTGAAGTTCTCAACCATAACTTAATGGACAAAATAAAGTGTGTGTGAATCCTTGACCATTGAGGGTATAACTCTACTGTGCAGTGACCACCAGATATTACTAGTGCTTTCAGGCGCTGACTGTGATGCTGAACCCAAGTGTGTATTGTTCCTGCTACAAGATTAGGCTTCAGTTGGTTATAATGATTGTGTGATAGAAACTACTGTTCTTTGATTGTTTCAGAGTTATGTGCGCAATAACAAACTTTTAACACCCAAATTATACAACTTCATATTTTAACTATTCCGTAATCCTCACATACATTTCCAGTAATGTGATTGTTTGGAACTGACATGACTGCAACAGTTATAAATACACAGTGAAAGGTCGCTGCTGATCATTAGATGTGAATGGGAACACCACAATGTCATTCATTAATAAATGAACTGGAGTTAAAGATTTACAATTCAGTCAACACAAATTTAGGGAGATATTTGTGAACAAACAGAATAGGCCAGGCTAAACGATGAGGAAGATCAATTCATCTGTATCTGTGTGTGGTTTTGTAACTGATGAAAGCAATAACCTCATTTACATAATTACCCCATTTAATATTGCAGATAGCAATGTGCTTTATTCTGTCTGATGCATCTGGTGCCTCCTAACATTCATTGCTGTCTGTGTTCATGTCTGTTAGCTCAAAGAGATGACAAATATTTACATAGGCCAGTGAACAAATGCCTTAACAGAACAAAAGGGTAATGATGATACAAAATGAGGTTGTCGTGCAGAATGAGTGTCTTTAAATTACTCAAAGACACAACTTTGTATAAATACTATAAAGCCTGTTTTATTATTGTGTGATTGGTTGTTACAGACTAGAGTATCCCTGTTTGCTTTGGGTTCAGTGATTGAGTCAGAGAGAGATCCCGCTGATCATTATTGGATGACTAGGGCTTAGATTCAATCAGATCAAGTGTTAACCGGCGATAGCTGACACCTGCGTGTGTCGGAGGTGTAACTGCTTTGGAGCTGTCAAATCGGTGAGCAGCTGCTCTTGTGATAATTGTCACGAAGCCACAACGGTCCCACTCATGTTAGAGTTCAGAACAAGAAAGTGTAGGCTATATAGAAATAATGACTCTCAAGTTGAAAATCTTTCAACAAAATAATGAGGATTTCTATCAGCATAATCGAGTTGTAGTTTACATCTCATATTCCGGTGTTTGAACTTGAAAACAAGACTGCATGGATTTTTTTTTAATGCGACTCCGTGCAGCCAATGGCAATGTCTGCTTTAGGTAAAATGCCAGCAGTGGCGTGTATTCATGGATGCCAAGGGAAGTCCCCCCAAAATTGACAAATAAATAAATAATAATAATAATAATTTATCCTTTGTCTCTCTCTGTTTTCATAATTGTCCTTCAATTTGAAGAGGCTGAATGTATCTCACTGGAGAAAGCATCCGAGCGAGTGAAACAGCGCCCCTCTGTCTCTGTATGTGTAGGCCATCTATCTGATGCTGTCTATGACATTGTTGCCGCCCGTAGCATTGAATGCAAGAGAAGCCAGCGAGCATTTGGCCTCCCTCGATAAAATAAATAATAGCCAATCAGCGTTGAGCTAAACTGATTGAGCTCAACTGTGAATGGTCCTGGCGCACAAAAAAAAGTGTCAAGGGAAGCAAGTTTGGATTTGGCTTCAGAGAGAAATATGTAATCGATAGAAACAACTTGAATTGTTGCATCTTGTTATGTTGTTGTCCTCTGGTGGCTAGCTAGCTAAAATTGGCCCTTTCCTAAATTAGCCATTGATGAAGACAGGGATTTGGAGTTGTGGTTTTACTTAATTCTCCATACTGACCAATGATTATAACCATAAAATACTTAGTGCCCCTGGACTGAGAGGATGGATGTTCAATATGTAGCTAGATGTAGAAGGCTAATGTTAACTAGCTAATGTTGCCCATGAAAGGAAGTTAGGCTAGCGAGCAAGCATTTTAACCAGGTAGGACAACAAAAAATAAAAGCGTGTACTGTATGAGAGTCATAGACCGTTTCGTCAATATGAAAGAGAGGAGGATGGCATTTGCATTTCTCTACAAGTAGGGTGAGGCAACATGTTTTTTCTACTTGCACGAATGCATGCGCACACACACACACACACACACACACACAAACACACTAATCAGAACCATGGACAGCCACATCATATTTAGCTTACGTTGATTGGACTAAATAGTTTTTGTTATCTTTTAGTTGTCACTGTATTAGACTGAGCATAGGTGATTTGATGATGTTGAAGTTGAAATGGAATAGTGGAGGCAACTCCTGTTTTCTTTGCTACTTGCAGTAACTTTCCGTGGTTCTAAATCAATAGTTGTTTAGTAGTCCAGAAAGGTCGGAAACATTAACTTTCTTGGCCATGCTGTTGGTCATGTCACTGTTTGTTACATGCAATATGCTTTGTGGACTTCACTGGACAGAGGTTGCTATCCGGTTTTGTGATGAAACAAAGGTGTGGTTGAATTTATTCTGCCAGTCTTCTTATTGTCTCCGACTTAGGCCTATATATCACGGTCACAAGAGGCATATGAACTAACGGGTTATAGAGCAAACAATGCAATTATCACAACACATACAGTATGTTGTAATATGGCATTATTTTCTGGCTTGGCTTCCCCAGTGATGTTACCCACGCACCACTACTGAATGCCAGGAGCTGCTCGTGGATTTGAAGCTCTAATGCAGTTCCACCTCCGATACTGCCAAAACAACCGCTATGCTGATGATTTAAAAAAAGATGGCTAAAGCAAATCTGATCATGTCATGTCAGATTTGCCACTGCAAGTGGTGATAGTGCTCTTCTTATAACCCACCATGGCCTTCAACACCTCAGGTGGGACTGATTACTTAATCTCTGGTGCACATCACATCACATCATACCATTATTTTATTCCCAATAATGTTTTATAACACCACTTAACACCACAGTCAATCATACATGCTTCATTGCTCTGTCATCAAGTTATTATTTAAACTAAC